CCGTAGCTCAGATGACACCAGCTGAGGGCGTACTCCGGGAACCGGAGTGCACTGTGGCCGGAGGCTTTGGGAGCAGACCAACTCCCAGTGACCTTGGTTCTAGCTCATTCCACACCCCTGGCCCAGAGACGATCGAGCACAGTGGTCAGAGCTTAGGCATTGGAGCCAGACCCGCGGGCCCCGACCCCACCACGAGCCTTCAGTCAGCCGGGATGTTCAGGTACCCTGGGATCTAAGCCCAGTCCCCCTCGAGACGTGCTCCTATCAGCCGGGAACCTGGCGCAGCCCGCCCCCCTCTCTCCCCCCACCCCCCACCATGTGCAGTGGGACTGTCACACCCGTAACTGCTTTAGAAGTGCCTGATGCGTAGTAGGTGATCAGTGACCGTTAGCTGTTATTCCCAAGTTGAGCCTGCACTTTCCAGGTCGGGATCCAAGTTCCCTTCTATGGTCAAGTCTCGAGCTCCTTTCAGCTCTTCCCCAGATGTGAAATACAGCTGCTGGAACCTTGCGATCTTCAGTTTTTCACAGATGAAGTCTCTGCTCTTGCTGGCTTGTTCCTTGCTTCAAGCCCTGATCTGACCCTGGATCCTCAGACCCTGGGGAGGTGGCAGCAGGGAAGGGCAGGCTGGCATGTGGAAGGGGTCATTCCCTGGGGTCCCCCCGTTCGGGAGATTTCTTCCCAGACCTCCACATGCTCTGGGCTCTCTCCCCTCTCGCTGCAGATGTGTGTTCCTGGCATTTTTTCCATGTTGAATGTCTCTGTGTTATTTCCTGTCCGGTCCCAAGCCCTCGTTCCCATCCCAGCTCCACCTTCCCCTGGAAAAGTTTAGGACCTTGTCATCATCGGGGTTTTCCTTTCCAGACAGTGATGTCTAGAAGGATGAGGATTCTCTGTGCACACCCTCCATGGCCCTGGTTGCTGGGGAGGGGCGGGGTGTGGCAGTGACACAGCCCTTCCTAGGTGGGGAGGACACGCGCCTTCCCCCAGGACCTCCCATACCCAGGGTCGGTGCGCTGCAGCAGCCCTAGCCACATCGCCCCATTGAGTCCCATCAGGGCCTGCTTAACCACCTCCCCCAGGGGGAGCTTCGTCCTCTGCGCCGCCCGGTGAAGGAGGTGGAACGCCTGACAGGTGCTGGTTCCTAGCCAGGCACTTCCGTACCAGGGTCGTCTTAACCACAAGACCCTAGGCGTTCACAACCTGGGAAGGGAGACATGTGGATAGGGTAGGTAGAACCTCCAACGCAGGTCCTCTTCAGGAAGCAGCTGGAGTAATGATTTGTCCGTTCATTCATTCATGCATTCAAATATTTCTTGAACACAGCGTTCTTGGAAGCCAGAGATGAATTCATCACAGCCCCTGCCCCCAGGTGCCTCCTGCCTCCAGGCAGTAACTGGGCCAGCCTAGGAGGGTCCAGACCCAGCCTGCGGGTTGAGGAGTCGGGACAATCTCCCTGAAGTTTCTTCATAGTCATCCTTATTAGGCGTAAATTATACCCAGCGTAACGTGCCCCTTTTAAGTGTTACAGCGCAGTGAGAACGAGGTGTCCTCGCCTGGGAGCTGTCACCCCAGCAGCTTCCCTCCTCTGCTCCCCGGCCTCCCCCAGTCCCGGGCAGCCACTGATTTCCTTGTCACTACGGAGGAGACATCACCCTAGCGTTTCCTAGAAGTGGATTCTGGCACGTGGCTTCAGTCCCTCAGCAGAATGAGTTTGGGGGTCATCCGTGCTGCCCTACCTGTTTCTGCATCAGGACAGGAGTGCAAGGAGGTGACATTTAGGCTGAATTTGGGAGGGTGAGTTGGAGTTGGTGTGGAAGAGAAAGGAAGGGCATGCCAGCAGAGGGCTCAGATGGGCAGAGGCGAGAGGCGTGAGGGACGGGAACCGCAGAGGCAGCGGTGGGGAGGGACGGGATAGGCTCTCTTCTCTTTGTTTCTCCTGCCTGGGCCTCAGCACTTGTCCGGCCAGTGCATTTGGATTTCACAAGCAGGATCATTTCGAGCTGGCTGCCTAGACCAGGCTGAGGCCAGGACAGGCCGGAGACCCTCCTGGCAGGCCGTCTGGGCTGGACATGCATTAAGGGGCTGCAGGAATCCATATATATGCGTGTGGCCCTGGGGTTCCCTTGGGCTTTGCTGGGGTTTGTTTTCCTCCAAGTTACCCAGTAAAACTCCTTTGGAAACACCTTGTTTTTTTTTTTTTTTTTTTTTTTTTTTTTTTTTTGTTTTTTTTTGTTTTACTGCGTT